GCTGAATTAATGCTCAAGAAACATTTATTATTATTATCAGTGTTGAAAACAGTTGTGCTACTTAATATTTTTGTTGAAAACTTAATATTTTTAGGATTTCTTTGATGAATAGAAAGTTCAAAAGAGCAACATTTATTTGAAATAGAAACCTTTTGTAACATTATAAATGTATTTACTGTCACTTTTGAAACTGAATGCATCCTTGCTGAACAACAGTATTCATTTCTTTCAAAAAATATTACTCAACCCAAACTAGTGAGGTTAAAGTATTGTTCATGATACCTAGTGCATTAACAAATGTAACCTAACTGTTGCATTAATTATTCTCTGTTTTATGCGGTGTGTTTCCGCAGGTACTGACATTTGATGGCAGAGGTGTGAGTGGACATGCCAATCATATTGCCATTTACAAGACCCTCAGGTAACCTTGTGCTGATGTCATAATGCAAGAATTAACTCCACAACAACAGAATGTTAGCAATTAATCAAAGTAGATTAGACTGTTATAAAAAGAGTCCCGTTGTACTAAATTCTGAAAATTCCCCTACATAAAGCAACAGTTACAACTGCTTCAGCAAGAACAGAGACTGACATTAGGCCAGCAGTTTGATGTGTCAATTTCAAACAGGAAACAGCCTAATATTGCTTATTTAACATTACCGAGTTATTTCTATTAGAGAGGGTCCAGATGAAATGGCAAAGAGCTTCATTCATCCTTCATTCAACAGCTTTACCATCTAGATTTAGCTGGTAAACAGCATGGCTGTGTTAGTCTACAAGCTAGACTATTACCAAACCAGATATACCCAACATAAAGCAGCCAGGCCTAGAAATACATATGGTCTTGCAGTAGGATGGTGTAAAGATATTTCATGTCAAATCTGAACATGTCTAGACTCCTTAATATACACTTATATTTGACATGCAGTGCAGTGAAGTTGAATGCGAAGTCAGTCAGACAAAGAAAGAAAAACATCCTGTCCTGAAGACTGTGTTCCCCTAGTGCACATTCTCCTAGAAGTACTACACATCACAGATGTGATATCACAGTTGTCATTTTACATCTATGGCAGTGATTCTGTTGTTGTGAGAGGGATGTTGTTTAATGCTGATTGTATTTATTTGTAATGTGTTGTAACCTGTTGATGTTTGTCTTTGTTAATTATTGTTGTTGATCACTGAAGAGTTGCCACAGATACAAAAATAATTTCCGAAAGGACAATAAATTAAACTAACATTACATTCATAACATCAGACCAACAGAAATACACACGTGTATATACAGTTCAGTGCATAATTTGTTTTTGATTACAATAATATTTCACAATATTACAGTTCTACTGAATTTTTGATCGAATAAATTTAGCTTTGGTGAACATAAGAGACTTTTTACAAAAATTCCAAAAGTTATCGATCCCAAACTTTTGAATGGTAGTGTATGTTCCACAAGACTAAATAACTTAATTTACACAAATTGTATTATTTTTCCTTCTTGGAAATATCTAGATTCTGAAGGGCAGTATTAAATAAAAAAACATAAAATACATGTTTATATCTCTTTGTATAAATTGCGAGGGGTTTATAGACTATAGACGACGAAAGGGGTATGCAAACATACGCACTCAACTGTATCTAGTAGGCATAATACCATTACTACAAATAATTGCTCACATTACACGCATTCCAGCAGAGCAGCAAAACACTGAAGCAGTTCAGAAGGAGAGGAAAACCAGATCCTCGGTCTTGGATCAGACAGCTTGTTGTTTGAGTGGTTGCAGCAATTCAGCGTGAAGCAGGACTTTGTCTGATACCTTCACACTGTATGAATCCTACTCCTTTCTTCTGCACTAGGGTATCAAAGCTTAAATCATGAATACGGGTGATGGAGGCATCCAGATGACAGGAGATAAAGCTTTGTGCTGGTGTGAGGCAATGACTTGCATGAAGGCTCGCAGTAAAACAGTCCGAAAAAACAGCGTTTAGTTGTTGAGCAATGTTTGGTTATAAGAAACAGAGCCAATCTTTTCAGACATCTGTCTCTTCTGTGCTGTTGTAGATTAATTTATTTGTCTGTGTGAGAAGGAGAGAGAGAGGAAGCAGTGGTGAAGTTGGCACTGGGACTGGGGCGTCTCTGGCTGAGCTCTGGGCCAACACAGGTGGTGTGACTGGGAGAGCCAGGCCATGACAGACAGGTCCAGGAACTGTAAATGGATTAAGAGCTCACTCTAATCTGAGAAAAACCCAGACCTCAGGAAGTATGTGTGTCCTTAAGACAAACACACACAGAATAATGGGAGAGAGAGAGAGAGAGAGAGAGAGAGAAAGACACTTCAGAAGACTGAAGACAAAAAAGAATAGGAAAATCTGTTTCAGTATTCAGAAATCTTAATGCTTCAGCATACCAAGACATTTTGGACAATGCTGTACTTCCAACTTTATGGTAAGGCCCTTTTCTGTTCCACCATGACTGTGACCCAGTGCGCAAAGCAAGGTTCATAAGGACATGGTTGGACGAGTTTGGTGTGGAAGAACTTGACTGAGAGAGCCCTGACCTCAACCTCATCGAACACCTTTGGAATGAACTGAAACAGAGATGGCAAGCCAGGCCTTCTTGTACAACATCAGTGCCTGACCCCACAAATGCTCTGCTGGATGCAGAGGCATCATGCCCATTCAAAGTGGTTTTTGAGCCAAGTGGATTTTGAATGCAGCTTCCAAAAGACAAAAAATTATATATAATAATAATATTATATTCTAATATTTTAATATATTTTCATTTTAATTTTAATAATATTTTCTATATTTTATACAATCACACCAGCATGATTAAATCGTTCAGAGCGGCATATCATCAGCTGCTCAATTCAAATCTGCTTTTGCTGGCTGGCGCTGAGCCAGATACAGCACTGCATATTAACCAATCACACACGATTCTGTTGAGCTTATGAATGTAATGGCCAATCAGAGGCGTTCAGATGAGTCATCGCTAAAATGCCGGTGTTTTCTTCACTCGCTGGCCGACTGAATACCTCTTTCTGGAGTATTCTCTCGTTAGAAACAACAAACTGCAGATGTGTGTATGAACCTGTAAGTAAGATATTCATTTTACGTTGTAAACAGCTTCAGTGATTTTAATGGGAGTTTTTGAGAGTGCTTGAACTCTAGACTGTCAGTGAATGTTCTTTGATAATGTAAATGTTCTTTGCTCTCTTTCTGTACAATGAAAGTGTTATGATAAGTAGCCTAACTTACAATGTTTTATTCACATTAACTTTCAATGTTAAATTCACATTAAATATAAAGTCAGTCGTATTAAAAATATGTTATGGCATGACACCCATATCTGTTACTTAAGCAAACAGACAGGATTTTATTTATAGTTAATAGACTACATTATTAGGCTACTTTGACCCACTATAACATAATCTATTAAGGTGAGAATCGAGATATTTCATGATATAGTTAATGCGTTTGGGAATGTTTCGAATAAAAAGAAGAAAAAAACACCAGTGCTATTGGCCGCTGTGTGTCACATGACAACCCCCCGCCCCCGCCCCAACACACACACACACACACACTCGTGCCCCATCAAAAATTATTTAATAATTAATATGGACCAACTCCATATTAATGTCTAGGTATTCATTAAATAATGTCTATGAATACAATGTCATTAAAGTGCCTGTTGGTGTAATGGTCAGGTGTGCCAATCTTTTGGTTGATTTAATTCATCCTTACTGAATAAAAGTATTAATTTCAATATTGCACATTTTGTTTAAAGAGACGAGTTTCTACCAAATTCAATTTAAAAGAGGAAACAAATGGGTGCAAGTCAACCTATTTGTATTTTTCCTAATCATTATATTACATATTTTTTCACATTTATTTGGTAAAGATCTGTAGTAGTATGTAGACAACACCACAATCACAACATTGAAACTGCTTATTTTGAATACAATTTCTATAAAATAATTTAATCTTTATATTATTATAAGATAAGGCTGTAAAGCCTTACAAAAGTCCAACAATTCATTAATGAAAAGATGTGGAAACCCTGCACTAAGCTTACACCGGTTTACTTAAAAAACAAATATATATATATATATATACAGTGGGTACGGAAAGTATTCAGACCCCCTTAAATTTTTCACTCTTTGTTATATTGCAGCCATTTGCTAAAATCATTTAAGTTAATTTTTTTTCCTCATTAATGTACACACAGCACCCCATATTGACAGAAAAACACAGAATTGTTGACATTTTTGCAAATTTATTAAAAAAGAAAAACTGAAATAACACATGGTCCTAAGTATTCAGACCCTTTGCTCAGTATTTAGTAGAGCCATCACCGTGGAAACAAAGAATGTGAAGATTTATTAGATTAGTCTTGGGCACTGTTCCTGTCCATATAGGGCTAAAGTTATGCACTGAAAGTAAGTAAAGTTTACGTCATGTTTCTTATTTCCTTATGTAAGTTAATTCCAGATATGCTGTCATTAAAGTACTGTACAGTAGTATATCAATAAGGTTCAGCCAACATATCCAACCTCAAGACACTAATGGAGAACTGCTAGCATAATGAACCTTACAGACTTTATCCCAAACAATCCAATATTCTGAAATCCTGATTTTTGATCACAGATTGTGCCTTTGAGTTTGCCGGGGATGGAGGACAAAATTGTATTCTATATATTATTTACATTTGCTGTTACTGTTGTTATTGGGACTAATTAAAGTAGAGTTGAAGCACTGTTCCAGATGGATCAATAAGTACTGTACCAAATCTTATGATTCAGTATGGTTTCAAAACTGACATGTATTTCTGATTTCTTTGAGCAAAACTGTTACTCTAGAAGTTCTGTGATGACTTTAAATATATGCCAATGTAGAGGAATGCAATAAATATGTTTAAAATAAATTTGATGAAAGAGAAAAAAAATTATTTTTATGAATACATTTCTTTTTTTTTTATATTTACATTTTTTATTAGTTTTCCTTTTACCTGACATCCTCGATACAAACAGATGTTAAAACAATACAAATGGGTATTATATCATTTAACAAGCTTCATCAAGTTCTCCCAAACGTCTATGTTACTATGATTTCCATTCAATTTTGCTAACATTTTTTCATATGATGTGCTCTGTTGATACATTACTTGAGGAAACAAGGTAGTCGGGGTAGTACATACAAAAGATACCATCCCCTCTTCATCTTAAAATCCCTACAGTTTTCCCTATCATTTAGGGGGAGATGATGTTTTCATTCTAGACAGTGCAGCTATAAAAAGCTGTTTCAAAAAAAATCTGTACCTGTGCTGTGTATACAAGACGTTACATCCATTTTGGTCCATTTTCTCAGAAGATACATTTTTACTATAAATGTATACATATAAGAGTCAATTTTTTTCAACAATTAGGAGTACACTGGCATATACAGTATGAGGCCTCAAAGGTAATAAACAAAAGGCACAAAACCCCAAGGTCTATTCATGTTGTCACTAATATATTGATAAAAAATGCCTTAAGAAGCAGGAGAGTACAATTTAATCTTAGGGCTTAATTGGCCAATGGAAAAAGTGAGTTATGTGTCCGTTGTTGGTTTTGACATACTTCTTATAGTTTGATGCTTCTGCATACTTTCTTCCCAGTTCTGCCCACAGAAATCTTCTACAGTGACACTGCTCACTGTTCCAGGGTCCAAACAATGAGGTGCCACACCTGTAAACACATGGCAGATTTGTAACGTGTAAAAAGACACAAATAACAGAGCAAACTTTTTTCTTCAACAAAGAAATGTTCTATAATTTAATATACAGCAAGGTACTGTGTCTATAAACAATTTCAGTCTTTACATGCAGTAAAAATTGGCTGTAAATATATAATAAAACATCCCAAAGGTGGTCCACTTTCTGTTCAACTCACCAAACCCATCAGGGTTGGAACGTGGAGTGTAGAAACTCTGGACGCCACACATTTTGCAGAATGTGTGCTTGGCCATGCGTGTGTTAAATGTGTATGTGGTTATGTTGTCTGCGCCCTATGAAACATATGAAACAAACTATGATTTAGGATTATCTGCATTATGCACAAATGTGCTTTACAGTCTTCACCTACACCAATCATCCAGCCTCTAGATCTCAACCAGATCCCATATACATGTTTTTAAAAAATCACATACCTGCAGCAAGGTGAACTGGGATTTTGGCACAATGAAGTGGCAATTCTGTTTCTTTGTGCAAATACTGCAACTGAGACACAACAGAAAGCCAAACAATCGGTAGGTGGGTTACCTTGTGAAAAGGGGATTTTCATCTCTTATATGAAAACAATGAAAAACTAACACGTGCTATTTTATTACAGTTCTCAAGCTAGCTAGCATCTCTGATGCCCAATTTCACAAATACAACTGATAATCATAATGACAATATTTTTCACCAATTAATTTAATATTTTTGCCCTACATCTGTCTGTAAGGAACTATTTGAAATGGATAACTTTTGATTTAGTAAAAAACTCATTATTTACAAATGAATATTTGTAGAAATATCAGTATATTTTTACCTTGTAGTGCTATGACATTGTTGGCAACAACTGATGGCATTAAGATTTAAAGACATTCTTTGCCTAACAGAATGATTTAAGGCTTTAAAATACACCCATTTCTTCGAATGACCCAGATGACACTGCAAGGTCCTGCTAAATGAATCACAGTTGCCTGAATTACTACTCGGTTCAGAAAGCCATCCACGTGATCACACAACACGTTTTGACCATTGTACTGTGACTGAATTAATGGCTGACTGTAGATAGTCCTTACTTGCAATTGAACACGTGTAAATGCGGAGCGCTCCACAGTTCAAAACGCACAGCGCCACAGTGGCAACCTCCGGTGTGTTTCACAAGACCACCACGCTCCCTGGAAAGAGCAGTTTACATGAGCAGACGATCTGTAGCTAGCTACCTCATTGGCTAATGTATTTACCAATGTATGCGATCAATGGACTTTAGTTATTTAATTGTAATTTAAGGGATAATATATAGCCTATTTATTTAAGTGACTGTTTTTTTTAGTTGGGCAGCAATATAAACACACTTTTTTCGATCACTCTTTTGGTCCACAACACAAAGCAGTGAAAAAGAAGGTTACATACAGTATCCTACCTTTCGTCTTTAGTTATGTACGCCATTCGTTTAGCACCTCTTACTTTATATGGTAAACCAGCTGTTTGTCGTCTTCGACCTAACCGGTTTAAACTGCTAAGTAATGCTCTCCTGTAGAACATTCCACACTTTGTTGATAACCATCACTAATGCTTGCCTACAAAACAGAACAAACACTGCTGACTGGCTGGGTCACATGCTTCAGCACAGCAGCTCATTTTGCCCTCGGCGTCATCTTGTTCCACCCGTTCAGCTGTTGCAATACAAGCCTAGACAAAGTCCAGGAAAATATCAGAGCAGAAACTGTACTGTATTGTATAAATATAAATAAGTAACGTATACATAATACAGATAGCCTATATGAACATAAGTCACATGACTTATGGGGGCCAGTGTGTTATTAAATAAATAAATAGTAATGATAGTAATAAAGCATGGGTTCTTATTGAATTCCAATATGAGACTAAACTGGTTTGTTCTGACAAAGTTAGATGTTTTATATAAAATGTGTTTGTGATGTCATAACCCTTCCATCATTGACAAAGATATTCAAACAATATGCTGAAATGTTTCAACATAGGCATAAATATTATAATAACGGCTTATTTCTTAACATCCTGTATTTGTATTATCTGCTGTGAATAACAGATTAAATTACGGGCTGGACGATATTAAACATTTCCAGTGATACACACACACACTCCTGAAAGTTCAAGGTACACAAGCTCTGGATCTGAACAAACACTCTTCTGAGTTCAGTCTGGTGATGTGGCAACTCATGTGACGTGTATCAGCACGGGGTCAGGCAATAATAATCAGGAAATCTCTAGTGAATTTCAGAACATTTGTGTTATGTATTTCCTGTAGTTTTCTTGGATACCATTTTCTTCAATAGAAAACAAATCTTTGCATTTAAGAACACAAAGCAAAAGCAAAAAAGCAGTGAGGTAAAATAAGAATCTCAAATTGATAATACTAACATAAATGCTGACCAATCCGTGATATTATTAGAGCACTTTCAAGTGCCAAGTCTATTGAACATCCATTTGGTTTGATAATATTCTTCACGGCTTTGAGAATACGTTCTTAATGTTTCGCTGTACTGCATTGGTTCTCGTCGATCATTTTCTAGATGCCTAATGTTGTTCATTAGGCATCTATGCTGTAGTTCAGTCATCGTGAACATAGTCATAATCAAAGTAAAACCCTAACATCATGGGTTACGTTACAAAATGGATATGTTTGCTGCTTAGTTGTGAAGTTCTTGTACTCGTGCTACCGATCGAGTTAAGTTTCGTCGGATGTATTTTTGCTGAATCATAGTAGTCTTTGAACAAAGAGTCCGGATGTTACTGTACAGCCGCCATGTTAGAGAAAGAGAGTGCTGGGTGTTGCGCAGTACAGTTTTTAAATAAAACCAAACTAATTCAAATGACATGATTTCGGATAAGGATGCCTTATCACTATTTAATCATGTTACTCTTAATTTAGAAAATGGGTTTATTTATTTTTTTAAGTGAGGAACAATACAAACAGAATGTATCTATTATATTTTTAAGTAAACCATGCTAATAGTGTACTAAACTGTAAACTGATAAATTTGAGATGTACATGTTGGTCCCTTCCTGAATTCGTGCCATTATTTGTGTTTGACTGCCTTCAAGCTTTCTGGTTGACTAACACAATTGAGGTGCAGTCGAATACTTGAAGGGGTGGTTGAATGCGATTTCACTTTTTATTTTTATTTTTTAACATTAGTTTGTGTTAGGGCTGCACTATATTGGAGAGGAAAAAAAACTCTCATTGCGAGTTTTTTTTTTATTGCGATTATAAAAAAAAAAAAACATGACTTGAATAGTTTATTTGGAAACAAACAATGATTGCGGTGATTTTGTAACCGAGTAAATCCGCATAGGAAATAAGTTACAAGCATAGTTAAATATAACAGAACAAAGATACAAATTAAATAAGCAGTGCTTTATATTTTTCAGGTAAGTCTAACAGTATTCAGGTACAGAAATTGAATAATCGAATGTAAAATAAAACCGCATAGTCTTAACTGTATAAATTCTAATAAATCTGTGTTAAAGCTACAAAAGTGATTTTTCTTTTTGTTTGATTTACATTCATAAAACAGAAAGCCTCAGGAACATTAAACTGCTGTAAACCAATATAGGCTACTGTTACACGCATCCATTTTCTTTCTCAATTGTTTCCCTTCACCTAAGTCATAAGCAACTGTGTTTACAAGGATACTTGCAGAGCACAGTATTTCAGGCACAAATAGACGCAGAATTCCACCCACCCCTCAGTTTTCAATAAAACTGGCTTAGTTGGGTGATCTAGATAATCTTTTAGCAGCTGTTCAAGCTCACGGAAGAATGAACAGGGACCTGATTCCACAATGATACTAATCCACAAAGTGGATAACTGTCCAGATAAACAAGGCTCAAAGAGCAGTTTCACAATACAGTCTCTTTTTGAAGTGCAAGCTAGTTAATGTTTAATCATCTTGGGTAATTATTTTATGGTATTTTATTTAAACAGCACACCCACACTGCAGTAAGTTCTGGTAAAAGAAACGACCTGTTTACACCAGGCGGTAACAGCAATACTTCAGGGCAAATTTAGAGCTGGTTCATCTTGTTTGTAGTTTTGTTCATGCATGCTTGTTTTCTGCCATGCCAACACGAAGTCACATTGGAAATAACAGATTTCTGTCCATCACATAGTGTGCAGTATTGAAAACAGAAATAAGCCTTGAAAATTATAATAAATTTAGCACTAGACATTACTGTAATAACAGAGGATAGTGCTCTAGAGACTCCAACAATGTAAAACTGCAACAAAATCCCATCATTTTTATTTGTAGCAGTGGTGAATGGCTGTGGTACTGTCTGCTAGCTCACCCAGAGAAAATAACCTACATTGCTGCAACAGATACTGCAGGCAGCATGTCCGAGGTCAACGTGTTTCAAAGCAATGCCATCTGTCACACATTGCGTTCTATATTAAGTACGCGGACACAACTCTGTATAAACCCTATAGGCTAAAACACAAATAATGTACTTCAAGAAACCACAGCTACAGTGAAACTGATTTTTGTAAACAAGCCATGTTTTTGAGCAAACACTCTTTTGGGGATAACAGCCTGTCATTTCTGTGCTATAATTAGGTTGTTGTTTGTTTGTTTTACATTCAGAACTGGTCCCAAACACATAACTTTAGCCAGGGGTTGCAGTTTGATACAATTATTAGCAATACTGATTTAAGAATATTAAATCTTCCAGACTATTCTATTTGTGTTATAACTGTATGACATAGCCCTGCTCGTTGCCTGGCCCAGATTCTAAAGGTCTGAATCACCAATAGCAAAGCGAACAAACAACCCAACCAACCAATCACTGTCTGAAGGCGGGACCACAAGCCAGCCCATTCTAGAATATTCTGGAGACTTCTTTTTTTTGATACTATGTGATAATAATTACACATTTAAAATACATATACAAGAACATGTAATTCCTAAAAACATCATATAAATCTTTAGTTTTAAAGCATATTTGAACGTTTAAAACAAATAGAGGTTTTGACTGCGGAAGGATCTTGTCATGTGACGTACCGTACACGTCACTCCCCGGGTTTGTATAAATACAGTCGCGTCCGGCTTCAGCCGCAGATTTTCTACGAAGAAACGACGCGTATAACTTCAGAGGCATTTTCAGAGTCAACAAGCTTTTTTTAAAGGTAAGATTGAACATCCATTTGGTTTGATAATATTCTTCACGGCTTTGAGAATACGTTCTTAATGTTTCGCTGTACTGCATTGGTTCTCGTCGATCATTTTCTAGATGCCTAATGTTGTTCATTAGGCATCTATGCTGTAGTTCAGTCATCGTGAACATAGTCATAATCAAAGTAAAACCCTAACATCATGGGTTACGTTACAAAATGGATATGTTTGCTGCTTAGTTGTGAAGTTCTTGTACTCGTGCTACCGATCGAGTTAAGTTTCGTCGGATGTATTTTTGCTGAATCATAGTAGTCTTTGAACAAAGAGTCCGGATGTTACTGTACCGCCGCCATGTTAGAGAAAGAGAGTGCTGGGTGTTGCGCAGTACAGTTTTTAAATAAAACCAAACTAATTCAAATGACATTATTTCGGATAAGGATGCCTTATCACTATTTAATCATGTTATCACTATTTAATCATGTTACTCTTAATTTAGAAAATGGGTTTATTTATTTTTTTAAGTGAGGAACAATACAAACAGAATGTATCTATTATATTTTTAAGTAAACCATGCTAATAGTGTACTAAACTGTAAACTGATAAATTTGAGATGTACATGTTGGTCCCTTCCTGAATTCGTGCCATTATTTGTGTTTGACTGCCTTCAAGCTTTCTGGTTGACTAACACAATTGAGGTGCAGTCGAATACTTGAAGGGGTGGTTGAATGCGATTTCACTTTTTATTTTTATTTTTTAACATTAGTTTGTGTTAGGGCTGCACTATATTGGAGAGGAAAAAAAACTCTCATTGCGAGTTTTTTTTTTATTGCGATTATAAAAAAAAAAAAACATGACTTGAATAGTTTATTTGGAAACAAACAATGATTGCGGTGATTTTGTAACCGAGTAAATCCGCATAGGAAATAAGTTACAAGCATAGTTAAATATAACAGAACAAAGATACAAATTAAATAAGCAGTGCTTTATATTTTTCAGGTAAGTCTAACAGTATTCAGGTACAGAAATTGAATAATCGAATGTAAAATAAAACCGCATAGTCTTAACTGTATAAATTCTAATAAATCTGTGTTAAAGCTACAAAAGTGATTTTTCTTTTTGTTTGATTTACATTCATAAAACAGAAAGCCTCAGGAACATTAAACTGCTGTAAACCAATATAGGCTACTGTTACACGCATCCATTTTCTTTCTCAATTGTTTCCCTTCACCTAAGTCATAAGCAACTGTGTTTACAAGGATACTTGCAGAGCACAGTATTTCAGGCACAAATAGACGCAGAAGTGAACAGAATTCAGTGTTCACGTGCATCTGCGTGGCTGTCACCGTGTCTACACCGGACGTGAGTGGCGCTACGCGACAAAATACAATTAACTCCTTATCAGTGTTGCTGTCTACACTGGATGCGGCACGGCACGACAAATCCCCGACGGTAAACTGATGCCGCGTTCTCTTTATGATGTACTGAGACAAAGTTCAAATGATATACAATGGTCGCGTCCAGTGTAGACAGACATTGGGGGCCATTCACATGTCGCGCCTAAAAACGCGTGGGAAAACGGCAGTCGCATCGCTTTCTTCTCCTTTCCAAAGCGCTCGGGAGCTTGTGCTTTCATGGCGTCTGCCATTGCTAAGCAACCGTGACCTGCGCTCTCCACGAGGACGCGGAAGTTTCTACAAAGGATAGGTGGATTTCCAGCACTGAAAATCGAGTGCAGTAGCTCTGCTACTAAATGTATTTAAAATGGGTATCTCTGTACAGCTGTCGCGTCCGGTGTAGACAACGTGTCTGTGTGTGAGCAAAGAAAACAATCCGTATAAATATAACTATCAGTAGCCTATACTAAACATCGCACATCCTACGATGTGACTATCGCGGTTGCGCACATCGCGATATCGATGCTGAAACGATATATCGTGCAGCCCTAGTTTGTGTAATGTTGCTGTTTAAGCATAAACAATATCTGCAAAGCTGCGAAGCTGAAAGTTCAATGCAAACGAGATATCGTCTTTTAAAATTCTGGCAGTTTAATGCCTACAAAAACGGCTGGTAAGGACTACCACAAGTTACTTCCCGGGTTTGTGATGTAACAAACCCAGATAAACCCCGCCCTCAGGAAAAAAACAGCAAAGGGGGTGAGGCCATGCTGCGCTGCTTTAGAGAAGAGGAAGAGAAAACTAGAGGTGCACATAAAAATCTATTCGTATATGAATCACGATTCTGTCTTCTAACGATTCTAATGGGTTCACACGTTTCAAAATCAGTGTTCTAAAGCAGCGGTTCTTAATACTGTTCCTCGTGTTCCCCTGCTCTGCATCTCTCTCGGTCTCGCTCATTCAGCTCAGCTCCAACAATGAACTAACGATTCTAATGGATTCACAAGTTTCAAAATCAATGTTCTAAAGCAGCGGTTCTTAATACTGTTCCTCGTGTTCCCCTGCTCTGCATCTCTCTCGGTCTCGCTCATTCAGCTCAGCTCCAACAATGAACGGTTCCAATTATACACTTATTTTCACATAGCTATGAGAAGCGTTATACATGGCGTGCAGTTGCCGTACTGTATTGAAGCTTTAATCAAGATAAAACTGTATATTAAAAGCTAACCTAAGCAGTAGCATTTACAAATAACAGCATATCTAAAAGTATGAGACGACAACAAACTAAAAACATAGGCCTACCATTAAAAGCCGTGCTTGCACAGGTTCCGCACAGTCCTCTTCAATATCCTCTGCTTCTCAATCGGGCTCAAACTGATAAGCGATATTAACGATGCCATTGTTTACAATACAGCCAGAGCACATGCTGCTGAGGTGAGGGGTGGGACGTTTAGACTTGCACTAGAGGTGGTTCAGCCAATCACAACACACTGGGCTTGCGAACCAATCAGAGCCCATCGCCTATTTATGAGGGCGGGGCTTCATAAAAGCAGGAAATGATCAGCGCGTTTCTCAGAGAGAGGGGCAGAGCAGTGTGGAATAAAGGTAAATTATGAGAAAAATAATGCGTTTTTAAAAACGAAGCATTAACATGTTAGACTGCACCCCATAAACCCAATCAAGCCTAGAAAAAAAAACTGTGAACCACCCCTTTAACTTGCTAGAGCAGCATAGTGCTGTCATTGAAACAAGTGTGATTTTCTTTGGAAATGTGGCGTTTCAAAAATCTTTCTGAAGCTTAAACCATTAATCTATGATCTGTTCTTGCATTCTACTATAAATTGAATGTGTACCTATAGTAATTAATTTATGAATGGTTGACAATCTGATTTTTCTTCATTTGTTTATAGATGCAGATCTTTGTCAAAACCCTCACTGGTAAGACCATCACCCTTGAGGTTGAGCCAAGCGACACCATTGAGAACGTCAAGGCTAAGATCCAGGACAAAGAAGGCATTCCCCCTGACCAGCAGAGGTTGATCTTTGCCGGCAAACAGCTGGAAGATGGCCGCACATTGTCTGACTACAACATCCAGAAAGAGTCCACCTTGCATCTTGTGCTGCGTCTCAGGGGAGGCATGCAGATCTTCGTCAAGACCTTGACGGGCAAGACCATCACCCTTGAGGTTGAGCCAAGCGACACCATTGAGAACGTCAAGGCTAAGATCCAGGACAAAGAAGGCATTCCCCCTGACCAGCAGAGGTTGATCTTTGCCGGCAAACAGCTGGAAGATGGCCGCACATTGTCTGACTACAACATCCAGAAAGAGTCCACCTTGCATCTTGTGCTGCGTCTCAGGGGAGGCATGCAGATCTTCGTCAAGACCTTGACAGGCAAGACCATCACCCTTGAGGTTGAGCCAAGCGACACCATTGAGAACGTCAAGGCTAAGATCCAGGACAAAGAAGGCATTCCCCCTGACCAGCAGAGGTTGATCTTTGCCGGTTTGCCGGCAGAAGATGGCCGCACATTGTCTGACTACAACATCCAGAAAGAGTCCACCTTGCATCTTGTGCTGCGTCTCAGCGTCTCAGTGCAGATCTTCGTCAAGACCTTGACAGGCAAGACCATCACCCTTGAGGTTGAGCCAAGCGACACCATTGAGAACGTCAAGGCTAAGATCCAGGACAAAGAAGGCATTCCCCCTGACCAGCAGAGGTTGATCTTTGCCGGCAAACAGCTGGAAGATGGCCGCACATTGTCTGACTACAACATCCAGAAAGAGTCCACCTTGCATCTTGTGCTGCGTCTCAGGGGAGGCATGCAGATCTTCGTCAAGACCTTGACAGGCAAGACCATCACCCTTGAGGTTGAGCCAAGCGACACCATTGAGAACGTCAAGGCTAAGATCCAGGACAAAGAAGGCATTCCCCCTGACCAGCAGAGGTTGATCTTTGCCGGCAAACAGCTGGAAGATGGCCGCACATTGTCTGACTACAACATCCAGAAAGAGTCCACCTTGCATCTTGTGCTGCGTCTCAGGGGAGGCATGCAGATCTTCGTCAAGACCTTGACAGGCAAGACCATCACCCTTGAGGTTGAGCCAAGCGACACCATTGAGAACGTCAAGGCTAAGATCCAGGACAAAGAAGGCATTCCCCCTGACCAGCAGAGGTTGATCTTTGCCGGCAAACAGCTGGAAGATGGCCGCACATTGTCTGACTACAACATCCAGAAAGAGTCCACCTTGCATCTTGTGCTGCGTCTCAGGGGAGGCATGCAGATCTTCGTCAAGACCTTGACAGGCAAGACCATCACCCTTGAGGTTGAGCCAAGCGACACCATTGAGAACGTCAAGGCTAAGATCCAGGACAAAGAAGGCATTCCCCCTGACCAGCAGAGGTTGATCTTTGCCGGCAAACAGCTGGAAGATGGTCGCACATTGTCTGACTACAACATCCAAAAAGAGTCCACCTTGCATCTGGTGTTGCGTCTCAGGGGAGGTTCAGATATTTAAACTGAAAATATCAGGGATGGACATTTGATTATTTCAGTATCCCCTGCTCATGCACTCACCACTTTTCTCCCCTCTTCTCTCCATACTTTTATTACTGAATCCCATCACATTTTATTGCTATGTTTTTCCACCTGTTTGTTTTTGTTCAAAATGACAAAATAAAAGCATTGAAATGTAAGATTGTGATTTGTTTCCTTGTCTTTGTGTGCAACTACTAATAAAAGATATGGTAAAAATGAATTAAATGGGGCATTGGTTTATTCTCAAAAAGAAAACAACGCTCAGGATTATGCTGTTAGATGCAAACGGGACCATGCAAGTTGTACTGATGTCAAATTTAATTAAATTAGAAGTGGTTGTCTCGAAGCCATCAATTTTTGGATCCTAGCACTTGGATAAATTTAAGATGTCTTTAAAATTTTCAATTGAAAAGCTACATGTTAGCTGCCTAATTTGTTAATATTCCATATTTGGTTGGTAAGAACCTTGGATGAAAATCTATTTCAGTGGAATCTGTGATGCCTGCTCAGGTGCTGCTGCTATAAGTTTAAAAATGGTAAGATGGTGCCACCAAGTGTCTGTTCTTGTAACTCGAATGAAATTCTAATGAAGCTTTACATGAGACGTTAAGAAATTATTTGTCTTTGTCTAGTTGCACTGGTCAGGCTGTACTATTTTTAGTGTTAGTTTATATAGATACATTCGGGAACAAATCAATGATAAAAAAAAATCTTAAAACGTCATACAAATAATTATAATAATTTTAAATTGAAATCTGCCCAGCAATCTTTATAAAATATCTAAAAGTAAATCCTAATCCTGTAACGACTGGAAAGGTCGTGGAAGTCTTGGTCACTTATCAAAATGCGCGGCAGCCTGGACATAAGACTACTAGAACTAATATTAACTGACTGCTTGTTCATTCATAATCCTTAATACCTACATGATCTAATGTTAATTCACTAATCTTAATTTTAAACTTAAGATGTATTAGTATCAATTGGAATTGACGAAGTGTTCTCACCATTAAAAATTATTCCGCTGAACAAATTGCAGCTCTAGTCTCTTTGAGACGTTGCTTTTGTTTCGTCCTTAAAACAGCTTAACCCCTTATCTACTGCTCGCATCAGCAGTTGAATCAATGAAAGTAATATTGTCAAAATAAAGAAATATTTCCGGAACACAAGCAGAAATTTGAGAAATCAAAAGGCAAAAAGTTATGACAAAACATTTAGGGGGAAGAACGGGCTACACCACCGTCTGCGCAGAGCAGTTGACAGCTGCTTCGAGGCGGTCAGTTACACAGGAGCATGGCTTGGACCTGGGGTCACTTTTTCTTCTCTCTACTCGATTACAAGACCGAGAAATTTGTCATCGCTAAAAACAAAAAGGTCGGAGTTCTGTTCAGACTCTTTCAGCTGGGGTTGATTGGATATCTGATCGGGTAGGTGCCTTGTGCTTTCTCTATATATAATATCAAGACGTTGAGGTGAACGAGCGGGATCTGTCAGTATTTAGGAGACTGAATCTTCAAAGTAACGTTACATATTATAAAAGGTCGTCAAGTGTTTGTTTATTTAAAAAAATGTTACTATGAATTTCAGCAAACCGAATGTAAGCCGCCATGTAAAGCACCATTTCTCGTATGTTATTTATATCAAGGCAAAGACCGACAGCATTGCAGTGTCCCTGCACTGTTTGACCTGCTGGGGCTCGGTTTAAATTTAGCATGTAGTGAAAAAGACCTTTGTTTTGATTCAGATTAGTAATCTCCATTTAGTCTATATAGGCTATGTACCAGAACCATACAAAACCTTAATAATTCAGCTTCTTAATTGTTTCACATGCTGTTTGAGGTTCATACACCATGAAACCAAAAGCTGCTGAATGTAAGATGACCTGGATCACATGTGCTGTGGCCAAATGCTACACAAAAAAGCGCCAGCCTGATTTTATAATTGCCATTTAAAGCGGTTTAATACTTGTCCTTTACAAGAAATAACTGTTATAGAACTTAAATGTATCTATAGGTTATAACGTCCTTCAGGGTGTGTTGACCATACTGTGTATAGGACATGTGACTTACAGCATTGCTCTCTATATCTCACGCACAGATCTTCTTCTTTATACTCTAAAATAACCCAATAAAATGTCTTTTTATACTTTTCACATTGTAAGTTGTTTCTCTGTCTTTTCTCTGTAAGTTATTTTGCTTGTGCGTCTTCTTAAAGGTGGGTTTTTCTTTGGAAGAAAGGCTATCAGGAGACTGAGGAAGCCATCCAGAGTTCTGTGATCACTAAACTCAAGGGTGTAGATCTCACCAACAGCTCTCATTATGGTCTGCAGTTATGGGGTGCAGAGGACTATGTCATTCCCCCACAAGTAAACTCACGTCTTTCCTGTATATTTGGACGCAGTATATTTGAAAACCATCTGTTAACAACCTTTCTCAAAATCTCTGTTTTATTTATTGGATTATGGATATACCTACAGATAATGTCATGATATACACATCTTTTGCTAAGAATTTGAACTCTAATCATTTAATGTGTTAATTATGTTACACAATGGAACAGCGTTTTCAGTTATCATAATATTGGTAGTCCTCTAACTGAACAGCTGTTTTCTGGACATAATTTAGCTCTTACAGTTGGAGATTGATATAGGAATATTTATGTTAAGTTTTTAATGTTTATTTATTTATATTAATAAATAAATATTTATTTATAAACAGTTATTTATAATGTTTATTTCACCATTTATACTTTGGATTAGAATGTATTCTAATCAAACAGAAGCCACACTCAGTGCCCTAATGCTTTCTGCAAAACTGTCTTTGAGCTCTCTAATTTTCATTTTAAAAAGTCTATTTAAAAAAAAAAAAAGTAAGCTTTTAGACTTTTTTTTAGATGGATGAAGATTTCTTTCTGCTTTAATTAAATAAAGACTGAAAAGAACCAAACGCTTCTTGGTTCAGGTTTGGTGAAAAAAACTGAAGTGAGAGAGTACCACATTAGACACAATATGTCAGGGTGCTGATCAATTAATTTGCTGTTGAAAATGTATTTCACAAGAATATATCTTTATTTCTTTTGAACAAACAGGGGGAGAGAATCTTCTTTATTGTGACAAATTACGTAGTGACACCCAACCAAAGGCTGGGTTACTGCCCTGAGGTAAGAGACAGGTTGTTGTTATTTAATTTTTATTCCCAACTAAAATTACGCAACCAAAGACATAAGTCATTTGTTGGAAAGAGTAGTACTGTCTCTCAATTAGAGTGCTGTTTTCTCTCTGAACGTCTCTGTACATCTGTACCACTAAGTTTGTTGTATGTGTTTGGTTCTTCTACTTATTTCAGAGTCCTAAAGTACCAGATGGTTTATGTAATTATGACAATGAATGTGTGGAAGGGGAAACTGTCATAGCAGGCCATGGTAAGCACAAAACCTAAATGAAATACCAAGCCTTTTGTTCCCTTATAACTGCACACCTGAAGTTATTTAAAAGGAAAACCTCTGTGAAAGTGCAAGATTCTTGTAAAAAAAAAAAAAGGTGTTACATTGTGTTAAACTATGACCCACTGACATGTTTAAATTCCTGAGCCTTAAAGGGACTATACATTTTATTGTCGTTTATTCAGGAGTGAAGGCAGGCCGCTGTATAAACGACACAGGAACGTGTGAGATTCATGCCTGGTGCCCTGTTGAGCATGGCCAGACACCATCGTAAGAAAACTGTTTTGTACCAATTCCTTTCAATTCATGTTCAGTTGCAGTACATCCACCTCACTTTATTAACAATATTATTCGCTCTTCATGCCTATATGAAACTATTTGAAGGGGGGAAAAACATGTTGGTGTTGTACCTTTAATGTTTCAAATGTTGCAACAGGGAGCCCTTGCTGTCAAAGGCAGAAAACTTCACAATCTATGTAAAGAATTTCATCAAGTTTCCAAAATTTGCCTTCTCCAAGTAAGTCAGTGTGTTTATTTTATGTATTGGAGCCTATAGAACAAATGTTCTCACTTTTCTAAAACTAAAGTATGTTCAGACATATATGTGACCCTGGACCACAAAACCAGTCTCAAGTCGCTGGGGTATATTTGTAGCAATAGCCAAAAATACATTGTCAAAATTATAGATTTTTCTTTTATGCCAAAAATCATTTGGATATTAAGTAAAGATCATGTTCCATGAAGATATTTTGTAAATTTCCTACCATAAATCAAAAACTTAATATTTGATTAGTAATATGCATTGCTTAGAACTTCATTTGGACAACTTTAAAGGCGATTTTGTCAATATTTAGATTTTTTTGCACCCTCAGATTCCAGATTTTCAAATAGGTGCATCTCTACCAAATATCATCCTATCCTAACAAACCATACATCAATGAAAAGCTTATTTATTCAGCTTTCAGATTTTGTATAAATCTCAATTTTGAAAAATTGACAATTAAGACTGGTTTTGTGGTCCATGGTCACATATGCAATGGGCTGTGACTTGTTTCAAATGCATTTAGTGACCTAATAAGTGATTGAAGCTTGTGATATGTTTATTGTTTATACTCATCTCTTCATGATAGAACTGAACTAACATGCAGTAGTCTTATTTAAGCTTTTCAACTAGGTTTTCTACAGCTTAATATTTTGCATGTTATTTACTTTGCAAAGCACCAGGGTTTTAGGTGGAGCAACTATAAAATGCATAAAACCTCCACCCCCACAGGATGCTGCTGCTGCTAAAACTTTTGGTAACACTTTACTTGAAGGGGTGTGCATAAGACTGACATGACACCTTCATAATCATGACATGACACATGTCATGAATATGAAGGAGGTTTTATGCATGTTTATGACAACTGTCATTAAGTGTCATTCACTCAGTTATGTCATTTGTAATGCAAATATGACATTATTTGACCTAACCCTACCCCTACCCTTACCCCTAACCATAGCCCATTACAAAGACATCTCAAACAATGTCATCTTTGCATTAAAAATTACATAACTGAGCGAATGACACTTAATGACAGTTGTCATAAACATGCATAAAAAACTTCATATTCATGAAATGAGTCATGTCATGATTATGTATGTGTCATGTCATGATTATGAAGGTGTCATGTCAGTCTTATGCACACCCCTTTGTATAAATCTCAATTTTGAAAAATTG